GCGTGGGGATTTAGGCCCCAACACATGAATCTGGGGCCCATTTGGAGCATAGCACCTTGGCCCTTAGATAAAGGGACTCACGACAAAGTCCTTCCCATGTAGCATTAGCACAGAGTGGGCGCAGAGCAGCAGCACACTTCCTGCTCAGAGGACCACGGTTTCATACTGGCCTCTAGCCGTTGTAAAAGAAACTAGTGTGAAAAAGTAGGCTGCTGTCTAGAATAATAGTCATCTAATCTAGACCTTACCAAAAACCCAGGGAATACCCCCTGCCAGCCATAGGAACATTTAATATTAGGTTGAACCACATTGAGTGACCAATTTGACCATTTCTTTTCTACAGAAATGGCCCCTCCACGTGAATCTGAAATCAAAGGCCTGGGTGTTGGTTTTTTTTTTCCTTTCTTTTTTTAAATTTTTATTATTTCTCTGATAGAGGAAGCATCTCTCAAGGAAGCCCAGAGTTAGCAGATACAGCAAGTTTGGCTAGCTAGCTTGGTTGGATGGGTGTCTCTACCTTCTGAATACTGAAAACACAGGTGGGCGAGCATGCCCGTCCTGAATTTATATGGGATTAGGGGACTTGAACTCTGGTCCTCATGCTTCTATGACAAGTGCTTTAATCGGTGAGCATTTCCCCAGTCCCCGACTTAAGAAGAAAATGAGAAAAATTCACAAGAAATCAAAGGGTGGAGGGCTGAAGAGATGTTTCAGCAGTCGAGAATGTGTGCTGCTCTTGCAGAGGACCCGAGTTTGATTTCAGCACCCATGTTCTCAACACCAGGGGACCTGAAGCCTTTTCTTGTCTCTGTATGTTCTCAAGTGCATAATTGCACACACACACACACAGAGACAGAGAGACAGCGCATACAGCAGGCACAATGTTACACTCCTGTCATCTTGGCACTTGGGAGGTGTGAAGGAGAATTCCTGGAAAGAAGCTGTATCTGCTAGACTGACAAACAGAACTACAGTACTGTGATACTGTGGAGATTGGAATGTCACGGTCCAGGGGTTAATTTCTTTATCTTGGGCTAAGTTCTGGCTCTCAAGAACAGCCATTCCTTATCCCTGTTGAAACTTAAGTCTTATGACTAATAGGTAAAAGCCTTTTTGAAAACTATTAACTTAGCAGACTATGAGCATGCACCAGCCCAGAAGCTAAGAATATCATCAGATAGTATCTTAGGCCTATAGAAAAGATGGTTCAGAGGTTAAGAGCACTGACAGGTCTTCCAGAGGTCCTAAATTCAATTCCCAGTCACCATGTGGTGGCTCACAACCATCTATAATAGGATCTGGTGCCCTTTTCTGGCCTGTAGGCACACATGCAGGCACAACACTGCACACATGATAAATAAAAGAAAACCTCCCCCATCTTGCTGAATTTGACTCTGATGTACCCACAAGTGTGCTTTAAACTTACCTTCATTTATTAATTTCTTTGTTCTTTAAAATGATAAAACTTCATAAAACTGCTTCCAATGCAACCCTAAAACTTCTCCAATGTGTGAAAATATCATCCATTTGCTGGGAAAAAAAAACCCTTTCTTTATTAGGAAATGGAGGGCTAACACAACATACCCAAATTTACGGGACACAATGAAAGCAGTGTTAAGAGAAAGTTCATAGGACTACATGACTACATAAAGAAGCTGGAAAAAAACCTACACTAGTGAGTTAACAGAACATTTGAAAACTAGAGAACAAAAAGAAGAAAACTTACCCAGGAGGGCTGAGTAGATAGCAGGGAATAATCAAATTGAGAGCTGAAATCAACAAAATAGAAACAAAGAAAACAATACAAAGAATCAATGAGACAAAGAGTTGGTTCTTCGAGAAAATCAACAAAATGGTCAAACTTTTATCCAAACTAACCAAAAGGCAGAGAGAGACTATCCAAATTAACAAAATCAGAAATGAAAAGGGGGACATAACAACAGACACGGAGGAAATCCAGAGAATCATAAGGTCATATTTTGAAATTCTGTATTCCACAAAATTGGAAAACTTAAAGGAAATGGACACGTTTCTGGATAAATACCACTTACCAAAATTAAATCAAGACCAGATAAGTAAATTAAATAGACCTATAACTGTTGAAGAAATAGAAACAGTCAAACAGTCATCAAAAGTCTCCCAGCCAAAAAAAGGCCTAGGGCCAGATAGTTTCAGCTCAGAATTCTACAAGATTTTCAAAGAAGAACTAATACCAATACTCCTCAAATTGTTCCACACAATAGAAACAGAAGGAACATTGCCAAATTCTTTTTATGAGGCTACAATTACCCTTATACTTAAACCACAAAAAGAGATTACTAAGAAAGAGAATTACAGACCAATCTCCCTCATGAACACTGATGCAGAAATACTCAATAAAATACTGGCAAATCGAATCCAAGAACTCATCAGAAAAATCATCCACCATGACCAAGTCAACTTCATCCCAGGGATGGTTCGACATATGAAAATTTGTCATTGATATATTTTGTTCACCATATAAACAAACTGAAAAAACCCACAAGATCATCTCATTAGATGATGATAAAGCCTTTGACAAAATATAATATCCCTTCATGATAAAGGTCTTGGAGAGAGCAGGCATACAAGGAGCATACCTAAACATAATAAAGGCAATATACAGCAAGCCAACAGCCAACATCAAACTAAAAGGAGAGAAACTCACAGCAATTCCGCTGAAATCAGGAACAAGACAAGGTTGTCCACTCTCTCCATATCTATTCAATATAGTACTTGAGGTTCTGGCTAAAGCAATAAGACAACAGAAGGAGAACAAGGGAATACAAATCAGAAAAGAAGAAGTCAGACTCTCATTATTTGTTGATGATATGATAGTTTACATAAGTGATCCTAAAAAAATTCTACCAAGAAACTTCTACAACTCATAAACACCTTCAGTAATGTATCAGGATACAAGATTAACTTGAAAATATCAGTATCCTTCCTTTACACAGATGATAAATGGGCTGAGAAAGAAATCAGAGAAACATCACCCTTCACAATAGCCATGAATGGCATAAAATATCTTGCAGTAACTCTAACCAAACAAGTGGAAGACCTATATGAGAAGAACTTTAAATCTTTGAAGAAAGAAATTGAAGAAGATACCAGAAAGTGGAAAGATCTCCCATGCTCTTGGGTAGGTAGAATTAACATAGTAAAGATGGCAATCTTATCAAAGCAATCTACAGATTCAATGCAATGCCCATCAAAATCTCAGTAAAAATTTTCACAGACCTCGAAAGAACAATATTCAACTTCATATGGAAAAACAAAAAGCCCAGGATAGCCAAAACAATCCTGTACAATAAAGGAACTTCTGAAGGCATCACAATCCCTGACTTCAAACTCTATTACAGAGCTACAGTACTGAAAACAGCCTGGTATTGGCATAAAAACAGACAGGAGGACCAATGGAACTGAAACAAAGACCCAGATAACAATTCACACACCTATAAACACCTGATTTTCGACAAAGAAGCAAAAAATATCAAATGGAAAAAAGAAAATATATTCAACAAATAGTGCTGGCATAACTGCGTATTAATATGTAAAAGAATGAAAATAGATCCATATCTACCACCATGCACAAAACTCAAGTCTAAATGGATCAAAGACCTCAGCATAAAACCGACCACAGTGAATCTCATAGAAGAGAAAGTGGGAAGTACACTTGAAAGCATTGGCACAGGAGACCACTTCCTAAATATAACCCCAGTAGCACAAAACACTGAGAGCAACAATTAATAAGTGGAACCTTGTAAAACTGAGAATCTTCTGCTAAGCAAAGGACATGGTCAACAAGACAAAATGACAGCCTATAGAATGGGACAAGAGCTTCACCAACCCCACATCAGAGAGAGGTCTGATCTCCAAAATATACAAAGAACTCAAGAAATTGGTTATCAAAAAAACAAATAATCCAATAAAAAATGGGGTACAGACCTAAACAGAGAACTCTCAACAGAGTAATCTAAAATGACTGAAAGACATTTAAAGAAATGCTCAACATCTTTAACCATCAGAAAAATGCAAATCAAAACAACTCTGAGATTCCATCTTAAACCTGTAAGAATGGCCAAGATCAAAAACATTGATGCCAACTTATGCTGGAGAGGATGTGGGATAAACAGAATATTTCTGCATTGCTGGTGGGAGTGCAAACTGGTACAGCCCCTTTGGATTTCAGTATGGCAATTTCTCAGAAAATTAGGAAATAACTTATCTCGAGACCCAGTAATACCATTTTTGGGTATATACCCAAAAGATGCTCAATCATACCACTAGGACATGTGCTCAACTATGTTCACAGCAGCATTGTTTGTCATAGCCAAAACCTGGAAACAACCTAAATGCCCCTTGACTGAAGAATGGATAAGGAAAATGTGGTACATTTACAAAATGGAGTACTACACAGCAATAAAAGACAATGACATCTTGAAATTTTTGGGCAAGTAGATGGATCTAGAAAACATCATATTGAATGAGTTAACCCAGATTCAGAAAGACAAATATCACATGTATGCACTCATAAGTGGCTTTTAGACATGAAGGAAAAAAAATCCTACAATTCACAGTCCCAGAGAACCTAGACAACAAAGAGAACCCTAAGAGAGACATACATGGATCTAATGTACATGGGAAGTAGAAAAAGACAAGATCTCCTGAGTAAATTGGGAGCATGGGAACCATGGGGGAGAGTAGGAGGGGAGGAGAGGAGAGAGGGAAAAATATATATAGCTCAATAAAAACAATTAAAAAAAAAGAAAGAAGAGGAAGGCTAGAATCTTGTCCACCTGGATTTTGATTTAAACCATTCCCTATAGAAGCCACTCTCCAACCTGGTCTCTCCAACAGAAGGTGAGCATGGCTAGCTAACTCAGCTACTAAAACAGCTCCCAGCAAAGGCTTACAGCATCGCTGGAGTGTGCACAACGGCCAGGGCCGCTACAGTGAAGAAGCACAAGACAGGGTAGCAGTTGTTCTTCTCATCTTTATTCAAATAAACACAACACCCGTACAGAGCCTGATTGTGTCTTCTCAGGCTGGTGTATTTCGATTCTCTGACATGCAGTGGCGTGATCACATGACTGTTCTAGAACTTACAACAAGCGCTCCAGATGCACAGGCGCAGCTGGCTTTGAGAAGGGAGGGTGGTGAAGTTCCATGGTGTCGCTTGCCCATTCGAGGCTGACATAGATGAGGACAAACACTCTTTGAACTCCAGATTTGAGAATGTACCAAGGAGACAGAATGAAGGTATTTCCTGCTGCTAGCTAGGCACTTGAAAAGGTATCTCTACACGGGGTGAGCCAGTTTATTAACAACTATCATATTTTATTTCCCCTGAAGACACTTCAGGGTGAAGAGGCCTGCACTTAGCCTTTGCCATCAGAGTTGTAAGAATAATGATTAAAACAGTTTCTGATATACTAGAGTGTAATTCAGCAAGGCACAAATTAGGGAAATTTCAGTTGTTCTAATTCAGTCTTGTGTCTTTCCTAAAATTCTGAGATGCCAAGAGTTACTTCTTTAGCTTGAATTGGTCTGATTCTCTTTATGGCATGGGTTTTGCAGTTCCTGTATATTAATTTAAATAAGTTAGGCTTCAATTGCTGATTAATAGATTAAAGGAACAAGTTTAAACAGTCATCTGTTCTCATTTGAAGCCAGTTAAGGTGAATTCAACCTGGGGTCAAATTCAATTTAAAAATTATAATCCTCACAACAAAACTGCAGCTAGTATCAGAGGCCGAGGCAAATGGGTTTATAAAAGGGCAGGGGTGGGGGGGGGGACAGGCAGCAATGCCACCACTCCTGGGGCAGACAGTGGGCTGGGGGAGGGGGACAGGCAGCAATGCCACCACTCCTGGGGCAGACAGTGGGCTGGGGGGGGGCAGGCAGCAATGCCACCACTCCTGGGGCAGACAGTGGGCTGGGGGGGGGGCAGGCAGCAATGCCACCACTCCTGGGGCAGACAGTGGGCTGGGGCGGGGGGACAGCCAGCAATTCCACTACTCCAGGTCTGAGCTCCCTGTCAAAATGGTCACAGTGCCACAAGAGAGCAGGGTTGGCGAGGAGCCTTCTCCCAGAGCTGCAGTCCCTTCTGCACAGTCCCTGGGAGGACAAAGGCCAGTTCTGCTCCTTAGCAACTGCCCCCAGTGGTCGCTTCTGATCCCACTTCTCTGAAAAGAAGTGAACTGGCTGAGCAGCAGGCTGGGGAAGTGAAATAAGGCTTCTGGGTTGAGAGCGGCTCCCTCCTCGGACAACCAAGGGAGAGGGTGTCTGGACGCCTGACAAAGAGCAGGGCTACTTTCCACAAGTACCAAGTCCCAACCTCTCCAGTCAGTCTATTAAAGAAAACTGAATCGTTGGATCGTTGAAAAATAACAGACTTTGAAAGGCTTTGCCACATCTGTAAAAAGAGAAAAGAAAACAAAAAAACTTCAAAGTTTTTTAAAGTTCTTTAAAATGTATTAATAGCCTTCTTAGTAACAAATATAAAACATTTTAAGACACTTGGTGACTTTCTTAGGTCATAGTTCTGATGAAGGGGACACATATATGCCTTGTGGGGGGGGGATATATAGTAAGGTTTTACTGCTAAAATGATCTATTTGGTAGAAACTCCAGGAAGAGTTCTGTTAAGAAAATATCTGTTTTGGAAGGAAGAGTTATTTTTTTTCCTTCAAAATGTCAAAAAGAGTAAGGACACAAATATACATAAAATGTCAGTACAACTATATTAATTCAGTAAATAAATAAAGTGGCACCAACTTTATGGCAAATTTTCAAGACACAGCTCAAGGATATTTTAAAATAAATAACTACTCTAAAAAGGAACCACTATTCTCAGCACAAGAGACACAGCGTTGACAACGAAGTGTGGCAAGGAAGGGCAGTGCCAGCATGCCACGTCCACATGGGAGCAGAAGCGCCACCCTTAGGTGGGATGGACCCTTAGGACGGATACTTGTCCAGAGAAGGAAGCTTCAGGCGAGGCCAGGCCTAGGGCTGTCTTTTGCCATTTTTCTTTTCTCTTCCAATGTGTGCTTAAATATCTTCTTCAGGGTGTTGTAAACTATTGGTCCATTTTCAGAGTCAAAATTAACCTAGTGACAAAGAACATTTCTATTTAAGACACTGTGGCAACAATTTAACCAGTTTCTGTTTGCAAAGGAAGGAAGGAAGGACTCAGCAAATGCAGCAATTGACTTAGAGAGAAATGCATGCAGTTAAAACCACACAGGATGGGTTTCTTTCCCCGAAGGGCTATGTTAGAGCTATCGATCTCATCAATCAAATTTGAGAGTGAGAACTCAAACCTGCACTCCAGTGCTGAGATTACAATCCACACAGCTGGCCAGCACGGAAGTGAGCAGTGAGCGGGAGCTCAGAGTCATTCATGTTGCAACAGAAGTCTCTTATCCAAAGGAAGCACACCAGCTGCTCTGTATGGTGTTCAGAAGCCCTGGGCCACTCTGGACTGCAGTCTGAAGACCTCACTGTCTGGCTTTCCACCTGTCCCTGTGTATCTCCACCTTTCATGTGGTGGTGGTTCTCAACCTTCCTAATGCTGAGACCCTTTATTTCAGCTCCTCATGCTGTGGTGACCGCCACCATGACATTACTTCATTGCTACTTCATAACTGTAATTTGGCCACTGTTATGAGTCGTAGTGTAAATATCTGCTATGGGACCCCCAAAGGGGTCAGACTGAGAGCCACTGGTACATGGGCTTCAATTTCCTTATGTGAAAATATAAAACCCAAAACCTACTGCCTTAAGATCTCTGTGAGTTTAAATGAAATCTGGCACCTGCAAGTGTTGTGTACACAAAAAACCTCAGTGAGATTGAGGGTCCCCTCTCTCCTGGAAACGCATTGTGTGCACACCTGGGGCCTCTGCCATGCCTGTCATGCTCTGCCGAGGAGTGATGCTGACAGACAGGGAACTAGAGCAGTCCCTGCACTGTCCCCAGAGTAAGGTGGGTCCTACTGAAAAGGAGCCAACATCTTGGGCACAGCATCTCACCACCACAAATTGCTCGTCTTTACACAAAGCGGGATCCAGGACACTGCGCTACTTGATTTTCAGTGTTCGGGTGCGGCATTCCCAAGGCTCACGGGTCAGAATTAAACTCCTGGAACCATGCATTAATGTTTTTGTGGGTACTGACCTGACTATTCTGCTTAGACGATTCTTGTTTAAACGCAAGGGGGAACTGACAAACAAATACCCCTGACTCCTATGAGGAACAAGATTTAAAATACTTGCTGAATACTCAGCTGTTTCTCTCTTTGGCTCTATAAATGCTCTTTGTTCCGACACCGCCCTTCAACTACCTGGCAGTTCAGCTTTGTCATGACACCACTGTTAGGAAACTCCCTGACTTCTTATAAAACACATGCGCAAGAGCTCGGAGTCTTACCTGAGAAGTCCTGGCTTACAAAGCTGGTGTGACCAGCATGGGGACACAAGGACTCACCTTGGTGAAAGCTTTGACGGCATGTGAAAGGCACGCTTCCTCCACCTCCACAGGAAGTGTCTGCAGGCTCACTATACAATGCAACACACAGAGGATGGTCTGGTACTGACCCTGTTTCATTTTTTCCAGATATGAAAAATAAAAAAATTAATTTGAAAATATCTCAAGAAATCAGCTCAAATAATTATAGAGGGAGCTTCTGGCTATGCAGCTCTATGACTTAGCACTCAGTTTTAAAGGTTGTTCATCAAGCACTCAGCCAGGTGTTTACTGTATATATTAATATGGCACGGAAACTTCATGAAATGGGTCAGAGCTAGTTGATTTATCTCAAGTTTGGTATGGTTTTAAACCACATGCTTCTCTTGCAGTGCTCAGAATAGACCTTTCTTTCCTACTGTTTCTGGCTATAATCACTTCAGCTTGGTCAGCTGATGCTGCAGTTGAGTGCACAGCTCACTTGGGCACCAGGCAGTCAGTACTGTGGGTGCGCCCAGCTCCCTGCAGACACTGTCTGGGGAGGTGGGCAGACGGAGCCCCCCAGTGGCAACAGAGATGTAAGGAGGCAGCTGTAGGGTAGATGCTGTAGGAAGGGTCTGCTGACTAGAATGCTAGGGATCTTCTACCCTAGCAAAGGAAAAAACCCCATCACCATGTATGTATGTATGTATGTATGTATGTATGTATGTATGTAGATTGGACTCACTGAGGCCAACCACCAACATCTCCTCTAGAAATCTATTCTAAGGGAATAATCTGAAATACAGAAAAGCCTGTGAAGACAGATTATTGTTACAAAGATGTTTATAAAAGTAAAAATCCGTGGTGCAAAATAATTGTACTCAGGAGTTGGGATGGGTGTAGTAAAGCAGACGGGACTTGATGCGCCTCAGTGTGTGAGCCTCGCCCAGTAGGATCCAAGTTGGAACCCTGCAAGAACACCTGCCATAAACTTGGGGCAAGCTGGTCTCCCTTGCCTTGTCTATAAAAGGGGCCTTCGTTCTAAGCACTGTCAAGATGAACAGGGTGAAAGTAGCCACTACTTCCTGACAGGGTTGTCCACAGCTGCCAAACAAGGCTAATCTCTTTCCTATCACTTCCTATTTGATCGCTGAAATTTAACGACAGAGAAAATATCCTAAGAATTCTAGACACTGGGGCAAAAAAATCTTATCTTAAAAGGTGTACACAGGGCTGGGAAGATGGCTCAGGTAAAGTGCTTGCTGGGAAAGCCTGCCGACTAGAACCCATGTAGAAAGCCTGGTGGGCATGACAGGCCTGGTGTAAACAGTCAGGGAGTCAGAGATGGGATTCTGAGAACATGCTGGCTACCAGGAAGGTAGAGAGATGGAGGAAGACAGCTGACATCAATCTTAGGCCTTCACATACACAAATGTGTGCCCACACATGTAAGCAAGCAAGCAGTTACACCACACAGCGTCTGTCTCTCTGTTTTATACCTTGATATTCATGTGAGGGGATATACTTTCATGTGTGTTTGTGGAGTGACAGTAGCTTGTGTGAGCAGACACAGTCACATATTTTCTGAAGACTTGGAGGCAATGAGATGCTTACGCTGTAGCATGGTGGGCTAACAGTCAGCATTGTTCCCCAAAACAAAAGCAAAGCCTATTTTGAACTAAAACACTTCTATTTTTATGTGGTTAAAAATGCTAAATTGTATGGTAGGAGCTACAATGAAAAGCAGTTTCCCTCTCTTCCTACATCCCTGATGGCAAACATCAGAACCAGTGTATAGCCTCCTGATACTTTTTTCTATTTTATACATATATAAGCTATATAGACATATGCACACATACAAGCTATATAGACATATGCACACATACATCTTTAAAAATAGCAAGGAGTATATATTTGAATCTCCATTTTAGTTTTTATAGACACATACTCACAGTAAGCAGAAACAGACACTTTGAAGAGGTATTTAGTTATAATGTAACCCACATAAGAGCCAAACAAGCTCATTATAGTTACTGAGATGGTCACCCATTCATGAAAAAATCATACAGTTTGTTTTGGTTTGTTTGTTGGGACAGAGTCCCACTATGTAGCCCTGGATGGCCTAGAACTCACTATGTAGAGCAGGCTGTCGTCAGACTCGGAGAGATGTGACTCCTGAATGCTGGGATTACAAGTACTCGCTGCCATTTCTGTATTTTCTAAACGTCTATGTTGTGTATCAATGTCTCTGTGTCTACAATGTTGTAGATCAAACACAGGGCTTGTACACACTAGGCTATTTCTCTACCACTGAGCTACATCTCCAGCCCCAATTTCTCTTATTTTAGAAAAACTACTAAAAAAATGGGGAACTGGAGCGATGGCTCAGTGGTTAGGAACATGTGCTCCTCTTGCAGAGGACCTGAGTTCAGTTCCCAGAACCCACAGCAGGTGGTTCACAAGGGTCTGTAACTTCAGTTCAAGGGGGATGGGATGCCCTCTTGTGTCCTCTGCAAGGGTCTGTAACTTCAGTTCAAGGGGGATGGGATGCCCTCTTGTGTCCTCTGCAAGGGTCTGTGACTTCAGTTCAAGGGGGATGGGATGCCCTCTTGTGTCCTCTGCAAGGGTCTGTGACTTCAGTTCAAGGGGGATGGGATGCCCTCTTGTGTCCTCTGCAAGGGTCTGTGACTTCAGTTCAAGGGGGATGGGATGCCCTCTTGTGTCCTCTGCAAGCATTGCATTCACATAAACACAGAAGCCAGACCGTTTATACAAAATTAAGGGGAAAAAAGGAAAAAAACCACTAAAATAGACAAAATAATATTTTCATTCTTTTTTTTGCACATGTGTGAGGGCCTTAATTAACTTATTAGCTGGCCCGATAGCTACTTTACCTTTTCTAGTAAAAACAGGGCATCACCAGCATCTGCTTGTCTGTCAACCAACATGTCCACATCCTCTTTGGTGATTACAGGCTCTTTCAGTTGCTCCACCCAAGACCACATCAAACTGCACAAGATGAAAGGGTCTCTCTCACCACATATTCTTTCCCAGGCTCCCTCTCGGGAATTCAATTCTTTCTGCAAAGGAAGAGGGAGAGAGAGATGGCCAGGGGAAAGAGAGGTGTATGGAGCCTTACTGGAGGATCCACAAGTGACTTAAGAGTGAAGGCTGGGCTCTGGTGTACAATGTGGACCTTCTTCAGGGCCTGCACCTCTAGGTAGGGGTGCCTGGCTAATCGCATCGCTGTCACAAACAGAGCAGGCTAACTACTGAGAGAAGAGCCACTGAAGCGTGCAGCCCTGACTCCGATTCAGAGGCCAGAGATGCAGTTCAAGAGGCAGTCTTCTTTCTTAGGCATCTGATAAACAAAACAGAAATTCAGGCTGCAAATGAAGTGAAATTGTAGATTAAAACTAGGGGAGCAATTATAAGTTAGCCTGGGGCCTCAGCTAAGCCTTTAAACACACACACACACACACACACACACACACACAGAAAATTGCATGAAAGTTGGCAAATGTGGAGTGTTTTTCTGAAAGTGCCTTTTAGAATCCTACAGAGAATCCTACAGATGAAGTAATAAGCCTGGCAGCCTGAGATCTGGGAGGGTAAAAACAAGTGGGAAGCCTTGTGAACACACCCAAAGATCTGCAGACAGGTCAGTGTATTCATGTATGTGCCTGCGCATGTGTGTGCACGGAGGTCAGAAGCAGCGCTGTGCAGCTGCTCTGCTCCATTTATCATGTGAGTCTAGGGACTTGGAGGAGTCATCTCTAATGACTCAAACTGCCAGCCTCACATGAGAATTTAAGACTTCACCTTACAAAGAAGAGTTAAGAAATTTCTGACAGGGATCAGATTTATGTTTTGGTAAATCAAATAAAACTTTTCAATAGTCAAAAACACAGTAGTTGTTAATATCCATTTGGTTACTCAGTAAATCTTGTAGCCTGTACCACAAAGTGGTAGAAATGGTAACAGAAGACTTAGAATACAAGACTTATTTCCAGTAAGATGGATACAGTAACTTGTGCAGAGCTCAAAGCTAGCAACTGGCAGGGAGGCATTCCACTAACTTGCCTTACTGCGTGGGCCATGGCCTAGGAACCCTCCAGTGCTAGCTTCTCTTTATCATATAAATAAGCTCATACTTGGAATTGTCTATATTCCTGCCTATCTCACATATTGTGTACAGAAAAGGAGAGCTTTTATTTCATCTCAGGGCTATATGAGGAGATAACTGGGCAGAACAAAAGCTGTCTTAGTGAAATGAGCATTGCACCAGGAAGCTTCCCAGTGAGGCAGAGCTGTGACTCCGGAGAGCTTGCCTATACGTACTACCGCATGAACCACAGCCTTGAGTAGCCACTTGACCTCTGGAGTTCTTAACCCTCACCTGTGACTCTGAGTTCCTAAACAGACCACCTGCATCTAGGGGCTCTGTGAAAAGCACAAGACATGCTCACAAAACAGCTTAGTATAGGCACACACAGCACTGCACTGCTTTTCCCAGAGTACAGTCTTGCTCACAGTCCTAAAATAAAGCTAAGAAGTAAAAGGTTTTTGGTTCCAGAAAATGCTCTTTATACATGTTACACGTTGAAATAGCCTACCTCAAATGAAACCTGCCCATTTTTGTTGTTGTCTGAGGCAAGCTCTCTCTGTAGCCCTGGCTGTTCTGAAACTCCCTATGTAGACCAGGCTGGCCTTGAATTTGTAAGATTTGATCTCTCTTGGCTTGAGTGCTTGATTAAAAGTATAGCTGACAGCACCTGACCCAAACCTGCATTTTCTCAGCTCGTGTGGGTAATTGGCTGAGGGACGTGCAGGGCTGACCTGGGAGTGGCATCGTGACATTCTTAGCACTAGGGTCCTCTTACTTGTTAGCTCTCAGCATAGAATACTGCATGAGAAATATCTGCTGTCTAAATGACGGGTTTTTTTTTTTCGGTTTATAGTGGAGAATAAAGAAAATTTATTTAGAAGGAAAACAATATTTGAGTTTTTAATTAGGTAAATACACTAATTCAGTTCTCTCTTCTGTTGCACACTGTAAGTTGTTAAGAGCTCCAAACATAAGTTCCTACCTCTGAAGATATCCTAGCTTATAGAAGTTTCAGGTCCTTGGTTCTATCCATCATGGCACATGGAAGAGTAGCAATTACTTTAATAGCACGACCTGAAGAGATGGCTCACAGCTAAGAGTGTGTGCTTCCAGAGGACCTGAGTTCAGTTCCCAGCACTCACATCATCAGCTCTAGGGATATCAGACAGTCTCTTCTGCTCTGAGGGCACCTCCATGCCACTGTACACAACCTCCTAATACACACAATTATAATATAAAATGAAATCTTTCAAGTAATCCACAGAAGAGTATAGCTGCCAATTCAGGATTTCTCTGAATCAAAAAGCCCAGGTCAGTTCCATGTTGGGGCTGGTTTCCTGTTTCTGCTAGCTGAGTTTCTAAGGACCCATCTTTTCTTCTAGACAAGGTGCTCATCCCAGGAAAGGAAGTACAACCGAAGACTGCTTTCCTACGAAGAGTAAAACGCACACACACACACACACAAAAGGAGTTAAAATCTAAAACTTCACATTCTAAATTAGAGCCGAGAAATGGGTTTTCGAGTCCTCCTCTCAGATATAACAGATCACTGGGCTCATTCTCATTTACTATCTCTAAGCCTCAAGTGACATCGTTGGGATGAGGCCAGCAAATCTGTGAGAGAGCAGGCCAGGAAGGCAGGCCTGACTCACCACTTGTACCAAGAAGCTTTGGGAAGTAACTTTATTTTTATCACTCGACTAGTGGTTCCCAAATGTGGTTCCCTGTTCCAGGCCCTCAGTCAGAAAAACACTGCAGACCAGGTCCTAACATCATCTTCTGTGGACTTGACTGTCCCTAGGAGAAAGCTACCAACATTAACATCATGTATGGAGCAAGCATCACACTAGATGTTTGGAAAAATGTGTCACATACTTTTGGTCTGACAAAACCATTTCTACGTGTGTGTGTGTGTGTGTGTGTGTGTGTGTGTGTATGTGTGTGTATATATATATATACACACATATATATATATTTACACACACACACATATATGCATACACTCCATATAAATATATAAGTACATATATATTTAAATGAAATACAAATACCTGCCACATTTCCACTTTCCTTTTCACTTCCTCCTTTTCCACAAACTCATTTAAATTTGCAAGGGCTTTGGCTGCCAATATTCTCCTTGCTTCAGCGCTCAGTTCAGACTGCAAACCAGCATGTGGCATTGCTTCCGACAGGTATGTGCTGTCTTGGATTTTCTGTCCATGTGGGAACTGTGCCTTAGGACTGGAGGAGCCACAGTTTAGAGGGCTGCAGGGAGTCCTCCCTTCCCCCTGAACAGAGCCTGGAACCCAACCACCAGGAGCTTCACCCCGACAGTGAGTGACTTGCTCTGGACCCCTAGGGATACTTGCAAAGTTGGGTGGCACTGGTTCTCCAGGATTGTGTGAACAGGAAACACCCACAGAGAAGGTTCTGCTCCGCTGTACTTCCTTTGGAATGTCCTTCCTACAGAAAAGTGGTGATCCCTCATCCTTGAGTCCTTCTAAGCCTCCACACTTTGAATGAGTCCAGAAAGAAAATGTACTGTGAACCAATGCTTCCTTATTTAAACCTAGCTCTGGATTCGGTGACATGTAACAATGGCTGATATGCTTCTGATGCTGGAGGCTGTGGTCTAGCAAGTCCTGGGCAGGTACTGTCCAAGGTGTCTCCCCTTGCTCCAGGATAGCTTTGGCCCTTTTTAAGTCTGAGTCACTGTAGCTGAGCTGCCTTTTCAGATGTGTTAGGGGCTGAAGACTCTCAGCATTCCTCCTCTTCCAGAGGGGGTCAAGGTCATGCTCATTAGAAAGGCTCACATCCTGGTCCTCGAACTCGGCCGCCACTGCAGGGGGTTGAAACGGGTCAGGTGCGTCACTGCTCTGCCTCAGTAACTCTTGATCCAGTTGCATCGTAACCATCTCCGACACAGTCTTTTCAATTTCAGCAGAGAGTCCAGGTCCTTCTATCATGCTCTTCATGACGACTGGCCTGTTCTCAGCCAGGTCGAGCAGGAGCTTGCAGACCAGGTGGATGATCTTTGGCACATGTTTTAGAAGTCGGGCCTCGTAACCATGAAGCAGATGACGCTGGCGAATCAGGTACTGGGCTAGGGTAACGGCATGTGCTTTGGGATCACAGCAAGAGAAAATATTTCGGAGTGGAGCCAGAAACTGAGTGAATTCCCGTACACAAAGCAGCTGCCCTCTGGTTTGTATGGAATTGGGGCGTTTTGCTCGCACAAATATAATTGCTTGGTCAGCAGTCATTCTTGTTGCAAAAACTAAGTAACATGCTATTAGAACACCTACACAGTAAAGAAAATTAGTATGAGAAAAGGCTCGTTTATGTATCAGTCTTTGATGATTTAAAACTTTGATGATTTATAAATCATATGTTAAGAAAGCGTATTTGAAAGATAGTAATGACATCTGCCAGTTTTTTATTGCTTTTTTTTTTTAATACAGGGACTCATGTAGGCTGGCCTGGAACTCTGTATATAGGCAAGAATGACTCTCTGGCTTCCACCATCCAAATGCTAGTATTACAAGTGTACACCACCAGGCTGGTGTTATGAAGTACTGGGTATCAGACCCAGGACCTCCTGTATTCTAGGCAAGCACTCTGCCACCTGAGCTTTATAAATCCCAACCCCTCCAGCATTTGTTACTGCAAAGACTTCTCCTCATCTCTGTGGCAGTTCCTTCCTGTGACTGAGTCAGCTTTGCACCCCAGAGAGGAGCTAGCACACAGCTGGCAGGTGACAGGGTGCTCAAGTGAGAAGGGCTTCAGAAGAAAGCTAAGGGTCTGGCACAGTCTCCTCCTGGCTAATTCTGGCATGGAAGGAAGCCAAACTGTGCTTCTGCATTCAGGGTCAACAGTTCTTGACGTTTACATCCAATCCACCACCCACTCCACCCTTGAACTTCCTGCTCTGATATCTCTGGCATCCACTGACAAGATAGTCTTGTTGAGCCTTCCCCCAGATTGGGAAGGTTTTGCTTTGGGATTATCTACGTTCACAGATTCACTTCTCTGCCCGACAATTCTTCCAAACCATGTCTACACTAATATGTGTTTTTCACCGCACCAGGCTATAACTCTGTTACGTAAGCAAATACTATGAAGGATGTCAGCTGCAATAGTATAATGACTAATTTTCATTAGTTACTTATTGGTAAGAATTCATAATCAATTAATTGTAATACAATAGCTAACAAATAAAGGCAAATCAAAGACACCCACACAAGTCCTAGATTTGTGAACATCTAGTTACACATGAAAATCAGAACCTCTGAGAACTACATGTCCTCTAGTTTGCAGTGAATACAATATAGGTCTCTCATGGGGAAAACAGCAGATCTTTGGTATAAAGATGAATATCTGCAGAGCTATACCATGCAATGTCCAGGAACAAAGATATTTTGGCTTTATCCTAAGAGTTGCTAATATTTACATGAGTTCAATTCTAATCTGGGTGCTCCTAGGTAGGTAGGGAATTCCATATACACTGGGATGGTTTTGTCTAACTAAATCACATGACAATCAAACTATTGACCCCATACCTTTTATTTTTACTATCAGACCAGCAGTTAATAAAGTTTGTTGAGTGTTTGTATAAAGCCACTGACTTTCACATAGAACTTTACATACAAATAGTCTTCTTCAAGTACACAATTCTTATGAATCCCAAAGTAGAGAAGACACGAAAGATGGAGCCAGACAGGCATGAGTGGAACACTGAGCCTGCCACTCACTAAATGTAGCAGATGACTTAATTTTTCCTAAGCTGCAGTTCATTCAACCCCAACTGTTGCTAACAACTTCACAGGAGAGCAAATACAAAATACTCGGAGTATGGCAGGTGAATAGGACTTGCTATTCTAGTTGCTCTTTAGCTAAGAAAAATATTTTGGGGGCTGGAGAGATGGCTGGGTGGTTAAGAGTACCTATTGCTCTTGGAAGATGCCGGTTTGGTTCCTAACAGCTACATGGTATTCACAAGGGTCTGTGGCTCCAGTCCCAGGGGAATCAGACACCCTCCTTTGACCTCCATGGGCACCAGCCTGCATGTGGTACACAGACACACATGCAGGTAAACATGCACAGACATAAAAGTCTTTAAGAAAAAAGTCTTTCTGCCTGGTGGTGGTGGTGCACGCCTTTAATCCCAGTACTCGAGAAGCAGAGGCAGGTGGATATCTGTGAGTTCAAGACTAGCCGGGTCAGACAAGGTTACACACACACAAAAAAAATCTTGTCTCAAAAAACAAAACAAAAAAGGAGAGAAAAGGGGGTTGGAGAGATGGCTCAGAGGTTAAGAGCACTGACTACTCTTCCTGAGGTCCTGAGTTCAATTCCCAGCAACCACATGGTGGCTTACAACCATCTGTAATGAGATCTGGTACCCTCTTTGGGCCAGCAAACATACAGACAGACAGAACACTGTATACATAATAAATAAATAAATATTTTTTTAAAAAAGGAGAGAAAACAGTATTTAAAAACACTACTAACGTGAGGTGCTCCATTTCAATAAGCAGATCAATGAAGCAGTTTTAGAAACATGAAAACATGAGTTTTCAACTCTAAATTATTGAGAATACTCTTATCGATTCAATATTATGATTATTATTACTACTACTACTACTACTATTAGGGTTTTTGAGACAGGCTTTCTCTGTGTAGCCCTGCCTGTCCTGGAACTAGCTCTGTAGACCAGCCTGGCCTCGAACTCACAGAGATCCTCCGCCTGCCTCTGCCTCCCTGAGTGCTGGGATTAAAGGCGTGCGTCACTACCACTTGGTTTCAATTCATGGTTATTATATAGGCTTAAGACGCTTCAAATATCTTTTATTTCTTTAATTTAATTCAAAATCTTTGTTATAATTCTAAAAACTATTTATCTTTAGAATTAGGAAATCTCATTCCTACATATCTAAATATGCCCACACACCAGTAATTTGATTCTCTAGAATTCACCTGTTCGCCCAAGCCCTGCGTGGCAGTGGACAGCTACTTTTCCTTCCTGTAAGGCAAATGTCATCACTTTTACCATGTCTAAGATGGCAGTGAGGGATGCTACGCCATAATCCTTCCATCCGAAGTTGTAGAAATAAACTAGACAATGGAAGAGAAAAAGAAAAACAAAATTAATATATATTAAAAATACTTGCAAGGACAGTTGAAGAAAATGAGTTACAAGGTGCCGAGATTTCACTCAAGAAGTAGGCTTACATTATTTATAAAAGCCAGAACCTGAAAACAACCTAGATGCCCCTCAACCTAAGAATGGACACAGAAAATGTGGTCCATTTACACAATGGAGTACTATTCAGCAGCAAAAAACAATGGCATCTTGAAATTTGCATGCAAATGAGCAGAACTAGAAAAAAACCATTCCAAATGAGGTTAACCAGACCCAGAAAGACAAATATAGTGTGTATTCACTCATAGGTGGATACCAGACATAAAGCAAAGGATAACCAGTCCACAGTCCACAACCCCAAAGAAGATAGAATGTCTTTCAGAAACAGATGGAAGCAGATACAGAGATCCACAACTAACCACTGGGCCGAGCTCCAGACAAAGAGCGATAATATAAATAAAGGGGTCAAGACCATGATGGGGAAACCCACAGAATCAGCTGACCCGAACTTACGGAAGATCACTGACTCCTGACTGACAACTGGAGAGCTTGTATAGGACCAAATAGGCCCCCTGAATACGGGTGACAGTGGTGTGGCTTGGGCAGTCTATAGGGCCACTGGCAGTGGGACCAGGATCTAACTCCAATGCATGAACTGCCTTTGCAGAGCCCATTCTCTATGGAGAGATACCTTGCTCAGCCTAGGCATGGGGGAGGATCTTGGTCCTGTCTCAAAGAGGGAACTGTACTTAGTTGACTTCCCAGGGGAGGCCTTAACCTCTCTGAGGAGTGGATTGAAGGTGGGGTGGTGGGAGGGAGGCAGCAGGAGGAGGGGGAAATGGGATTGGTATGTAAAAAATTAATTAATTTAAAAAACCAAATTCAAGGAAAGAAAGGAAACCCTAATAAATGAGAACATTAAAATAAAACAAACAACAACAACAAAAAGAAGCAGGCTTACAATAATAGGCTTTTTTATTTGTTTTTATTTCTTGAGGCAGGGACTCGCAGTGTAGCCCTGGCTCTCCTGGAGCTTGATATGCAAACTGGGATAGTCTTGAATGCATCTGCCTCTGCGCTTCCTGAGTGCTGGGATTAAAGGTGTGAGCCACCATGCCCATATAACAGGATTTTTATATTTCCAGTAAGTTTAACTTTTCTTAAAAGTACATTCTTTATTATCTAATATATTTTCTGCTTTAGTGCAGATGGAAAAAATTAGAATAGAATTAAAAATTAAGGTGGAGGTAAATAACATGTATTCTTGTTTAAGAATATAAATTCTCTAAAAGGTTAATAAATGGTTATATATCTCTATCTCTACCTCTTTATCTCTATCTCTATCTAGAGCTGGCTAGACATAAGCCTCATAAGTACACGTTCCCAGCCCACATGCTCATCTGGATCAGCCTGCTTTCAACAACCCCGCTGAGTGGACTTTCCTCCAAAGCTCCTGTGAGGAGCTCTGGGCTGGCCACAAGGACATATTCTTATGGGGCCAAAAATTATTCAACTTCTAATCCTCACTGGACTTTCTAAGCTATGTGATCTCAGACAAGCAGATAACTCTCTAAGCCTAAGTGGAGTCACACAACTACTGTAAAGAGATAATGAGGCCATCATGTCTGACAGGTACAGGCTCTAACTAAACAGAAGCCTTTTACTGTAGCATTTCCTCCCACCCCCTCCTAGAGGAAAAAGAAACCCTGTACTACTCACAACTGCAACATCAAAGAACAGTAGCATCATTTAGAGTGAAATCAGAAGCCCACCACTGTGCAGATTCTATTGATAATCATTACCTCTTTAACCTAAGAGCCCGGGAGACAAAAGTCTCTAAGTATTGTCCTTGACAAGGGTGGAAAGGGACTTACTGCCGGCCTCCATGAAGGCTTCAGGAAGGTACGTGAAACCACTCTCTTGTTCCAGCGAGTTCCCACAGCTGGCATGCTCACCAGGGCGCTGAAGGTTGATGATTGTTTTTATGCCGTGACTTCAAAGAAAACGAGAAATCAGTTATAAGGACCTGGAGTCATGAGAAATGATTTCAGCATTAGTAAGACATTATTAATTGTTCTCAAACTTTTCTTAAAATCAGCTCTTCATGGCCTGTTTTTTAAGCGAAGTCCTTTTCCCTTGATGCCATAACCAATGGAAGAAAAGCATGCCTAGCGTATTCACTACAGCTGTGAAGGCTGCGGTACTTACCCGAGGAACTGCTCGATGATGTGATACTTCTCCAGCAGCTCAGAGGACGGGCGAGCCATGGCCAGGATACTGTCGGTGACCCTGGAGATAGTATGGACTGCTGAGATGCGCAAAACTCAGATCATTCTACCTGACAGGATCAGCAACTTTTTCCCTATCACAACAACTTCTATATTCTTACACAAATCTGTCTTCAATTCTGCATCACAATTAGAACTCTGAGAAACCTTGCAGCTCCTTAAACCCCCTGGAGGGGTGGGTTTCAAGACCTAAGTCATCTATGGATTCTGACAAAAGGTCTCCAAGGACTCTAGAGAGATTCTAGTGGACAGGAAGGGCACTTCACCTTGCGATACAGTGGTCAGTCAGCTAAATGGAGGACAACTAGGAGGCTGTTACCTGAGGTGTGAAACGGGGTAATAAGGCCAGACACACACAGGGTTGGGGTGAGAATTCAGGATGATGTAGATGTACAAATAGAGCACAAGTCCTGGCCTGTGGCTATAAATAAATACTGAGATGCTGTAATTTAGCAAAGAAGGAAGGTGGCGATTCAGAGTCAGTTGGGCCTGACTTCAAATGTTCTTTTGCTTTTCTGCTTTCTATCTGTGAAGCAAATTAATTCATCTCTCTGGGCTATCGATAAAATGTCATTAACAACTCATAAGGTTTTATGAATATTAGTGATAATTTGAAAGCATCTAGTAGCAAAGTGCCTTGTCCTACAATTAAATGCTTATGAATGTATCTATGAACAAAGCAGACTGAGTCAATGAACAGCTGGCCATAAAAAGGGCCATAAAAAGCCTGTTGCTCTTATTAGACCTCCAGCTTTACTGTTTTATTCAAATTTGTCATCAAGTAGAAGGCGAAAGATGTGTAAAGTAGTCCATTGCAAGTTGTGACTCATGAATCTCAGAGGAGAAGCAGAGTGTCAGGTCAGTATCTGAAAGACAACTCTCCCTCCTGGAGCAATGTGTAGAGCCTCACATGAACTCCCAAAGACTAAGATGGAACCTGGTGTGAGAGGGCAGGGACAGGACAGGCTCACGTGGAGAGCTGACACGTGAGCAAAGCGTTCGTGTGAGCTGTGCTCCGCCGGACATTTGCTTGCCCGACTCTGACTCAGGAGGGTGTCCTCATGGCCATTACTGTCATCAGGCTGCACATGACTCATACAGAACACTTACAACAGTGCCTCAGGCTGTGTTACCACAGGTGTACCAGAAATTCAACATAAAAAAGTAGAGACAGAAAGTCAAATAAGCAGTCTACAACATCTGATCTTAAAAGTGGTTTCTTGTAGAAGCTAAATAAGGTGAACCCAAAGAAAAACATATAGCTATCCTCCTGGATATGGGAAGTAGACAAGATTGCCAGGCAAAAAATTGGGATCTTGGGGGTGGGGTGGGATGGGGGTAAGGGGAGATGGGGAGAGAAAAGTGAGAAGGGGAGGATGGGGGAACTTGGGGAAATGGGATGATTGGGATAAAGGAAGGGTGGATATGGGAGCAGGGAAGCATATATCTTAATTAAGGGAGCCATCTTAGGGTTGGCAAGAGACTTGAACCTAGAGGGGCTCCCAGGTCCCCAGGGCGATGTCCCCAGTTAGTTCCTTGGGCAGCTGAGGATGGGGAACCTGAAATGGCCCTATCCTATAGCCATACTGACGAATATCTTGCATATCACCATAGAACCTTCATCTGGCGATGGATGGAGATAGAGACAGAGACCCACACTGGAGCACCGGACTGAGCTCCCAAGGTCCCAATGAGGAGCAGAAGGAGGGAGAACATGAGCAAGGAAGTCAGGACCACGAGGGGTGCACCCACCCACTGAGACAGTGGGGTTGATCTATTGGAAGCTCACCAAGGCCAGCTGGACTGTGACTGAAAAAGCATGGGATAAAACCGGACTCTCTGAACATGGCAGACAATGAGGGCTGATGAGAAGCCAAGGACAATGGCACTGGGTTTTGATCCTACTTCATGTTCTGGCTTTGAGGGAGCCTAGCCAGTTTGGATGCTTGCCTTCCTAGACCTGTATGGAGGGGGGAGGACCTTGGTATTTCCACAGGGCAGGAAACCCTGACTGCTCTTCGGACTAGAGAGGGAGGGAGAGAGGAGTGGGGGAGGGGGAGAGGAGAGAGAGGAGGGGGAGGGAAATGGGAGGCTGGGAGGAGGCGGGAATTTTTTTTTCAATAAAAAATAAATAAATAAAAAAAATGGGTTCTTGTGTATAAAATAATTCATGAGCAAAACTCTTTTTAAACAGTAAATTCTAAGAGTGTTCCAAATATGATTTTGTTTTTTGAGTTTTTTGAGACAATGTCTCTCTGTATAGCCCTGGCTGTCCTGGAACTTACTATGTAAACCAAGCTAGCCTTGAACCCACAGAGATCTGTTTACCTCTGCTCCCTGTGTACTGGGAATAAAGGCAGTCACCACTATGCCCAGCTCAGATATGATCTCATTATCCATATTTTTGAGACCACAGTGCATACCTGACTAGCTCATTGCTACCAAGAAAGGCAGGATGATTTAAGTGTAGAATTAACTGTGCTTAAACACAAGAAACCACGCCAGCATCTCATGGGCTGCCTGCTGAACTGGCAGCCTGTGCCTCTTCTTCAAGGAACACTAGAGTATATTTCATAATAAGAGATAAATTCACATTCAGATGTGAATGCTGAACTGCACAAACCCGAAGACTACACATGTGATTTTCTCAAATGTATAGCTGAACATTTTTATTGTTTTCACCAATTTCTGAAATTTAAGAACTATCTAATTATCTATTAATTTAAGAAAAAGACAAGATCTCCTGAGTAAATTGGGAGCATGGGGACCTCGGGGGAGGGAGGGTTGAAGGGGAGAAGGGAGAGGCAGGGAGAGAAGCATGTAGAGCTCAATAAAAATCAATAAATAAAAAGGAAATTTTTTAGTATCATTTCATTTAATATTAAGGCTTTGAATTTAATTATTTCCATTTTGCAGATGAGAAACTAAGGTTGAGTAGGTCAGTATCCCACAGGCAACCTACTGGTAAACCCAAGGATGGTTGCAGGGTCCCCTGAATCCTTCCTATTGCCTGCCTGTAGCATGCATCCTCACATGCATTCCTGCTTCCTTCATCCTACAGAGATGTGCAAGACCCAGAGCCATACTTACCAGGAGGAGTACACTCCCTTTATGGCTTGCTCCTGCTCACTCCAGCGTGCAGGGTTCTCATACTTACATGCTCTCCCACCACATGCCATGGAACATGCCATGTGTCCAGGGATGACATGCCGTAAACGTTCTCCCACCTTTGTGTACTTTGGTGTTGGGCGTTCGGAATTTTCTAGAATATACAAGGAAAGTAAGGTTCAAACTTCTATCCTCCCAGTAGAATAGTAACATGGGAAACAGTTGCATTTTGCCTCAGGATTGTAGATGGGAACCAGTTTAAATCCCTTCATGTAGTATTAAAAAGCTTTCGCATGCAATAATTTCTATATACTATACTGGTAAAGAGAAGAAAAAGCAAAAGCTCATCTTTTTCAAGAGGGTGAATTTTGTTTAAAACTATACTTGTAACAACAACAAAACCACCACACATCATGCCATCATTTTATCTCCTCTTATACATCCATTTGGTCTTAGCCTGAGCAGAGTCAAAAGCATACCCAGAATCACCTGTCAACACTCTAAAAGTACAGACACAACAGGAGCCTATTCCCACTCCTTACACTTAGATACAAAGGGTAGAAAATTATAAGAAAGAGTTTTACTTTTTCTCTCGGGAAAAGTTGGTTTCCCCTCCGTACGGCTGACAGAAGACACAGCCACCATCACTTGGACAGAAGATGAGGACAGCAGCTTGGTGGCAGAGCCAGAGCCACGCCGGGCTTGCTGTAGTCTCAGGACCGGGTCAGAAGTGGAGTGCCGGCGGCCCTGCAGGAAGGCACTGAGGAAGTGCACAGCCGAGGGCCTCCGGGATGGGTCCTGCACCTGCATGGCACTCACTGGCTCCGGGGAAGCAAGAGCTGGAGGCAGGCAGAAGCCAGCTCTGGCTTGCTCAGTGAGGAGCTACACTGAGACACAGGCATCGCTCTGTATGATCTAAGAGCTTTTCAGGATAGGCTGATTGGTTTCCATAGCGACCAACAAAGAAACTACTGATTCCCACTTACATGTGAACAGGCAAAAATCCTACACGAACCAATTGTGTTTTGGACAAATTGTTCAAATACAGGGAAGAATACTATGCATTTAAAGTAGATTGTTCTTACGTCTAGATTATTTTGTTTCTCAAATACACTTAAGATCTGACTCCTCAAAGAATTACTTCCAAAATATCGTTATGAGTTTTAAAATGCTTTTATGACATTGCCTTCTACACACAAAAATTAAAAGCTTAATTTTTGTTATGCCTTTCATAGCTGGTCTCCAGGTATTTTAACAGAAAATTCTACTTTTCTTTGGAACAGGACAGGAAAAAAAAGTTTATTGTAATTCAGCAGTATATGCTAGATCCTACAACATTAGATTTTTCAATTTGTCAGAACCAAGTACCTTCTTATATTTTCTTGACAGAACCAAAGAAGCACTTGAATGGAACAAATAAAGACATTCTATAGCTAAGAAGACAGCTTTGTATTTTGACTTTCAGAAATGAAGCCCCAATCTTGGTTATACGCTGTTGGGAACAACTTAGCTGTAAGCAAGGTTAACTATGAGCAGCCATGCCTTCCCAAAGTTCACAACTGCAATCAATCCTCTGCCTTCCGTTGCTATGGGAGGAAAACAGCTTCTAAGTCTCAGCGGAGGCATTTGAATAAAATTCTCTAAAGTATCACATTTTTAAAGGAACTGGATGAGGGGGAGGTGGCAGTTTGAGAATAAAGGCTATAAAGAAAACAGAAACTCAACAACTGCAAAGCACTTATTGTCCGCCTCCTCCCTCACTAATGTCAGGCTGTGCCCGCACTTTCTCTCCTGCGCTCTCTGCACAAATGGTATTTCAGGGGTGTGCGGACAGAAACATAAGTACTGCTATAGATCAGGCTCTAATCTATGCTGTTAAGTTTCCACCGTCATATCCCTGGCATCATGTACTTTTGTGAAATAAGACAGGGACAGAGAAGTCTAGTTCGACGCTTCAATTGCTACTTTATCTGTAGTATCATACAGAAACGGAAAAGGTCCCCCTACACACACACCAATTCAGAAAGCAGTTACTCTGCCTGGAAGAATGGCCTGAGAAATATTCTAGACAAAGCTCACTGGACCCTTAGAATGCTGCAGGGCAGATCCACAAGGGTTTGCAGGAGAGCAAGGAGGGACCTAAAAGCAGGAGGCCCTTTGAGCTGTGTGTTTGCTACTCTGGTGACAGAGCCTGAGAAGACTTCGGGTTGGCAGCACATGGAGAGTCTGAAAGAGACCAGCACGGGAAGCTCACTGTGGCCTCATGAAGACAGCAGCTGTGGATGGGGACATGCCAAAGGGTGGACTGCTGTGGCACCAATGTGGTGCTGGGAGTCCAGCTCAAGTGGCCAGCACATCTTTCCGCTGGCTCACACAGAACCCATGCACAGGTGGTAAGAGAAACCCGCAAGCTCTGAGGCAGGCGCAGATATTTAAGGCAACAGGGAGGAGGTGCCAGTCAGTGAGTGCGTCCGGAAAACGGAGGTTGCACTGAAGGATGTCTACGGATGGGGGAGGGGGGGGGAACACCTCAAAAGTGGCTCTGCTCCTGACTGTACTAAAACTGCAAAGTCATCTGATGTGGGACTAAGAAAGGGATGGTTTAAGTGATTTCTGCTGTAAAATCCTGAGAACTGGGCTAACCTCAAACACAGAGAAAGCACACGGCTGAGCTGACTGGACATGTTAGTGCAGTAAGCCTGTGTCAGGGCCTAAGGGAGGGTGGCCTGGTGCAAAAACGGACTGGGTAGGCAAATGTAGCCCCCTTCCCCCACCTGCCTCCAAGGATACATCCTGCATCCACCCGGCAGACAAACTGGAACTGCACTCACCTCCCCACAAGAGACAGGCACCCGACCCTTTGCCTCTCTGCTCATTTGAAGGAATCCTCAAAAACTACACCTTGGCCAAGTGCTCAATTTACAGCCAATCCCCTTTGGAAAATAAACTTTAGGGATGGAGGCATGGCTCAGCAGTAAAAAGGACTGGCTGCTCTTCCAGAGGACCCAGGTTCAATTTTCAGTACCTACATAGTAACTCACAATCCAGGAGATCTGATGACCTCTTCTGGTATCCATGAGCACCAGGCATGCATGTAGTGCAAAGTCATACATGCAGGCAAAATAGCCAAAAACACAAAAAAATTAAGTAAGAATGTAAGTTTTATTTATATCATAGAGGGCTTTACAACTGGCATACAACCTTTAGTCTCCATCCAACATGCTAGCTTGGTTTCCTTCTCCAATATGTTCATGTATTTATGGGTTTTCTAGGTTTATTTGTTTTCTTACTTAGAGACTGTGTGTAATCCTTCCTGACATAGAACTCATTATGGAGACCAGGCTGGACTGGAATGCACAAGGATTCCTCTGTCTGGCTCCAGACTACTGGAATTAAGCAGACCATCACTCCCAGCCTTTTAAGTATTTACAGCCCCAGTGCACATACATTTTTCCTGCTCTTTCCAATCAAGACAGGTACATCTTCCATTTTGGTTTCATCTTAAATTTGCATGTAATGAAGCACAATGACTATGAAAGCTCATTTAGCTAATACACCATAAAAAAAATTCTCGAATCCCTTAGGTGTTGGACAATTAGGGCATTATCAACAGCTTATTTTAAAAATAAGATACTAAACTTTTGAAGACCAAGACGTTTATTTTGATATTTTGCTTTAGTAAACTTTTGGGGAAGATATGATTCATGAGTAAAATTAATATTCAAAGTGCAAAGTTTTATTTAGTTGAGTCTTTACATGTTTAAAAATCATCTATAAACTGACAGAAAGAGGGAACCTGTTCAGCAACTCCACTCAGGATTCAGGGATTGAGGCTGGATTGGAATGAATAGAACTAGGATTTTGTGTGTGTGTAGGTGTGTATGTACACACACATACATACAAACATAAGTAAGTACAAGCGTTGATACATAGTCGCTATGGTTATCCACATATCCATTCTTCAACTCTGACAGCCCAAGCAGTCCTTGTGGAAAGTAACAGGATAGTAATGAACACATATGACAAGCAGACATTGGTTTGCAAGTTCAATTTTTCTAGCAATAAGCACTACGGTTTGTTGACTGTAATCCTGATGAAATAGACAAACTCAGATTGAGAGAATTTAGCAGCATAACTTGCTGTCTTCTTCAGAAATAATGAGGTCATCAAAGTCAAGGAAATTTGGAGTGTGTCCTATCATGAAACATGTGAAAGAGACAGGACCCAGAGCTTGGCCCTGGACTGCCAGCAACCCTTCTGGGGTAATCTGCGAAGCTCCAGTGAAGCTGGAGAGCGGAGGGGAGGCTGCGATAGCTCCGTCTAATTTGCTGATGTACGGAGTGGGGAGAATGTCTTTGTGAGGGTAATGGAGAGTCATGTCTGCAGTTCACACCCAAGTAATTCAAGAAAAACATCTTTATGCTACAACTCCCCCACCTCCCAAGTTTCAGACTGCTTCAAAATGAAAACAAATCTCTGAAAGATGCCAAACAATTAAAACTCAGGGTGTGTGTTATGTACTGCTCGGCAAAGAAGAGAACTGTAGAGCCTACTTCAAATGGGTCATCAGTGACCTCAGTCACAATTTCAGTGGACACCAGCGACAGACGGCAGAGCAGACCTGAGACTTGAACAAGCGACAGAGATAGCTACTATCGTCAGCATCTGTCTGTGACAGGAAGAGAAGGGCCTCAGACAAATTATAGCGAGAGGTCTAGAAACCATCACATGCAGCAGGAATATGAGAAGTTCTGGAAGTTCAAGGAATGTTTTTTGTTTGTTCTGTTGTTGAGGATGAATTAGAATTAACGCTTATTGAGAAACAGATCCGACCCAGCATCAGCAAACATCCTGAACTAACAGCTCAACAGTGGCTGCTTTGTAGGAAGTGGGCCTGTCTCAGAAAGGAGAACAGAGCTGGGAAGTCAGCACCACAGCCACGCTCCTGGATGTGCTCCTGTGGACCTAAGAACGTGAGCAGGTAACCACCATTTCCCCTGAACATCTTAGGGGTTTGTCTAAAACCCTGAACATAAGGAGATGACCAGTCCTCGGAGAACCAGGCCTGGCACTGAATGCTTGGGATTTGAACCACCTACGGGAACAGCTGAAGAAGAAAAGGCCGTACTCACTTGGTAGCACTTACTCAGCTTG